ATCGATTTTGTCCATATAAATCACTACAAGGCATAAGATCACCAAAACCAATAAGATGATTTGTAGTAATAGCAAAATAAATTAATTCAATAAAAGACCATTTTGAAACGTACATATAATATATAAATAATGTTGGAATTATCATAAAAATGAATGTTATGAAAAATGTCACCAATAAAAATGAGACAATAAAACTATGATACCTTGAGACATAATAAATAATATGACGATTCATTGCAAGTTGAAAAATAAATCGATAAAAAATTGGTATTAATTCATGATGTAATATTTGTTGAAAGAATAATGCAAAGATTAAACCTATTCCTGTATAGATAATACAGAGAATTTTTCCATAGGAAGTTACTAAATTCGGTGTTCCATAACCTAATCAAAGAAAAATTCACATTAGACAAGAAAAAAAAAGTTCAAGTTTTACAGAGATACAGACAACAGTGACTTCGAGCTTGAAATCTACTGCTTTTCCTTCGAGTGTCATTCAAGAGGAGACTATCCGATTTGTTACTCGTCGTTTAACCTTACATTGGATTCATCAAGAGGTCTTGATAAGATTAGAAAAATCTAAAAAGACTCCTCTTCATGGTTCTTTGAAGTCGACTTAGAATCGTTTTACTAAACTTTCGACTTAGTTTTAGATACATATCGAGGAATACAAATACAGAATTTTGATTTAAGGTTTTATCCATATGTTGGTCGTATGATTCGTAAAATTTTTTAAAAGTTTGAACCGAAAACAATGATCTTTTGTCGAAGTATCAAATTTCCGCAACAAAAAATAATAGCTAAGCGCTTGTCACAGATATGATACAAAAATCAATTTGATTTGAAACTTATTTTCGACTGAAACTTTCAAGATATTTCATGGATCATTAGACTTAACTATGAACAAGTTTTCAAATCGAAATTATGCTTATTGGTTTTTCGATATATATTTAAAGTTGGCTTGTAAAATTTATTAAAACATTCCTAACTCGGTTTCAAAGGTCTATAGACACAAACTATTGTAGAGTTTTGCTAGCTTCATCAAAGTGTCCTTGTAGACCTCACATAGATTTAATCAATGGGAATCAGTTCGGATGACATCCTAACTAGAACCTATTAGAACACGTTAAAATAATAGAAAATCTATTAATTGACGATTTCATCTAATGAACAATTTTAAAAGTTGACTTATCATGAACTTTTTCTGATTCAATGATGTACTCTTTTACTGTTTATGTATATGCACAGATTTTCATATAAATAAATAAAACTTAATACTTTTTGGTCAAATGTCGAGAAGTACTACTATATATTTCTGCGTGCTTACAACATCTGTTTTTTTTATTGCAGTGCAATTTTAATATTTGACTATCTGTGTGTGAATCTAATCTTATTCTTTCTCTATGTCATGACAGACAATCATTCTTTTGTTAACATCGATTTTTCACGCCCTCATAATATCGTACCATTAGTGTTTGTGAGAATAAGGCCAGATGATATCTGGCGTGATCCATCATACCAATATTGTATAAAAACTGAGATTTATATATCCACTGAAGTATTTTTTTTCTCTAACCTTTAGTTGAGACTTACAACATGAAATCAGTTTCAATCATTGCCATCGGTGTTTTTGCCCTTTTTGCTCTATGCTCAAGTGCTCCTGTTGCTAATCAACAAGCAGAACTTCAAACTCGTCTTGATTTTTACAATGATTTCTTAGCTGGTTTTCTTTCAAATATTGTCCAAAC